CCACACCGGGTTTTACAAAAAATTGCCCCAGACCACACTTTTCCTCTTATATAATAATTAATTAAATTAATACCGTTTAATAACAAGTCTTAAAATCGAAAGCTTTGGAAGATTAGCTATAACTGCTCCTAAAAGCTATAATTGTGATTCTTTAGGATTGTTAAATCTATTATTTTTTGCAATTTTTAAAATTTAAATGTTTGAAAATTTGTTTTCTTATTAAATAAAGGAAAGAGTTGAAATAAAATTTTATAATTTACTCAAAACAGATGTCCAAATTTATTAGGTTTGCAAATTAAGATTTATCAAATCCTAAGCAAGATTACTCTAAATTAATTGGTACTTCACTTATATTTAAATGTTGTATTTTTTTTATTATTTATGTTTAATTAAAACAAAATTTTGAGAAATTAACTAAATGTATTGAATAAAGTTATTTTAAATTTTTAATATTCTGTTTTTTATCATTAGAAAATGAATAAATTATACTTAATATTTAGCTTAAAAACCTAAATTTATGTGCTTCCGATGCAAGAAATAAATTCAGAAACACTTTATTCGCTCAAATTGTTTCCTCTTTTTACAATAAAGCTTTATGTTTTTCTTTTTAAAAAAAGAGGTAAGAATTTTACTAAAAATCTATAGCCAAGCTTGGAATGATTTTTCCTTAAATTAAGGTATTTTTTAAGCACAAGAGGCCATCATCAGTAATTATTGCATTACTTTTTTTCAAAAAAATAAAATTTAATTATTAATCTTAAAAGAATATTTTTTGTACCAAAAATAAATTTGAGTTAGCTAAAAATATTTGAATTTATTAAAAGAATTACCATAATCTAAGAACTAAAGATTGAATGTATGTAGAGTTGAATAAATGCTAACAAGAGCCAATAAGTCCTAAGTTGGAAATAAAATTTTTCCTAAAGTAGTTTTTTATTATTTAGAAATTTAATTATAAAAGTTTAATAATTAATTTTTAAAGAGAATAATTAATATTTTACGAAAAATCAATTTTCAAATTCTAAATCGTTGTATTTTTTACTAACTCAGAACAAATATCAATAGCACAGCTTGCATTTATGTTATTTTTGCTTTATTTAAATAAAATTTTAATCAATTAAAATTAATAAATTTATCATCAAAAAATCTAAAAACAGATTAAGATTATTAAATTTATTAAACTTAATTTATTTAAATTTCAAAAAGACATTTTAATAAATTACCTTAAATTAAGAGCTAAAGTTTTCAATGTTTTACTCTAAGCTAAAGCAGTGAATGATTTAATAGTATCTTTCCCTGAAATGTTATTTGATCTATGAAAATTTATTTTAAATTCATATTTGTTTAATAGGAAGAATAAAATTATTATTTAAACCTGTCAAGAAGATGTTTAAATAATATTCAAATTCAATTAAATAATTTAAAGTTTCAAAAGAAAAAATGATAATTTATGGTTGATTTCAATGCAAAATTAAATTAAAGTGTTAAAAAAATTAAATTTACTTTAGTCCCAAAATCAATGTTGATAAATATTAGCAATTCTAGAAAGAAGAAGCCAATTTAAAAAGACCTTGATGACGAATGTTATTTCTTCTAAAATTTAGTTTTAATAATTTTATTAGAGTTTAATTATTAAAATTTGAAAGAAAAATATTAAGTTTAAATCTAAAAAAACTTATTTATATTTTATAAAACAAATTTTTAATTATTACCTTAAGTCAATCTAGATAGTCTCAATATTTTCGAAATTCTAAATAGCTAAACTTAATTGATATGCACCCTCTGCTTAAATTTAGTTATTACTTTTGATAAAATTATCTTAGAACGAATTAAAATTGAAATCTTAGAATTGTGATGAGATAAAGAAAATATTAATTAATGCTTTTATTTAAGAATCAATAATTTAAATTATATTTTTACTAAAGATCTAATTTCATCGACTTTAAATTAGTGCAATTCGCTATACCAGAAACTAATGTAGTAAAACAAATATTACCTAAATAACATGACCTTTTTATTTATTATAAAATGGTTACTAAATGATGGTATGTATATGTTACAAATTTAATACTAGAAAAATAATAATAAAATAAATATTATTTTTAAAATATTTAAATATTTTTTTACTTTAAAGACATTTATAAATCAGTAAAATTTTTTAATTATTTTTCCAAGATTTCAGCAACATCTTCACTGATTATATTGTAGCTTTTCATATTAAATATAAGAAGATAAATTTTAAAATTTATGGAATTGGTTTGATAATAAAAAATGCAATTAATAAAAGCTGGTAAATTAATTTATTTTGATCATTTATTTTTTAAGATCAATTTAATTAACAATTAAATAATTTGAGCAATTTATTTAATTAAAACTAAGATGTAATAAATTTTACTCTAAGAACAAACTGAGATTATTTTAAGAGCAAGCAAGGCTAGATTAGATAAACTTTAATTATAAAAATAAAGAAATTAAATATAATTTAAATAAAAATTAGCATACTTTTTTTAAAAATTTGGATTTATCTTTATTTTATCTTACCATTTATTTTTTTAATGAAGTGCTTTTAAATTTTATGATTTTATTATCCTAAATATTTTTAATAATTAAAGAAATTTAAAAAAAATACAGTTTTGCCTAAATAGTCTTTGTTTTCCAACTTAAGATGTAAATCAAAAATATTTGTTTTTTGTTTTTTTTATGAACTCATACTAACATACTTAGTGATTTCTACTTAATTTTTTAATAAGAATTTTGATATTGCAATATAATGATTTAATTAATAATGAATGATAAGAATATCTGACTGCTTTATCATATAATTTCCTAAAATCTTATTTATAAATTGATATTTGATCTCTCTAATACCTATTTGTTCTTTTTATCAAAACAAATTCTAGATAATATTTAATAAAGTTCTAATTAATATATTTTCATAAATAGCTATTCAATATTCTTGAAAAATAAATAATATAATAGAATTAATATTTTGAATATCTAGAACATGTAATTAATTATTTAATTTATTGTGAATATTTTTTAAATTAATATTTTAATAATATAAAGAGTTTTTATAATCTTCACTTTAATCTCATACAGTTGTTCTACACATTCAACTTTAGTAAATAAAATTTATTATTATTAATCTTATTCTTTGTGAATATTTATCAAATTATAGCTAAAGAGAGAAATTATTTTACTAAGGATGGTTCTAGCCAAGAGTTGTATTTTTAGTGAAATTTGCCAACTTTTTAAAAGATTAGATTATTTAGTTGTTCGAAAACACTTGCTACTAAAGCTGCCTAAGGCTTCAGCTTTATTAAATGAAATTTTTTATTGATTGGTTGATTGATGTTCTATAAAAATATTTATTTATTGGAAGAGGCAGCAAATCTGCGATCTGTGATATTGTTGAAGGTTTATGTTAGCCTTTTGGACCTGTTCTAAGTAATTTATTCAATTCATATTTGTTTCTTAAGCTTGGGTTACTAACTGCAAAAAATTCTCAAGCTATCATGATACAATGCTTCCATTTTTTTGTTTATAATTTACCATTTAAACCTAGAAAATTAGATTTCTAATTTGGTTTATAATTATAAATTATATATTTATGAATGAAAAATAGAAGAAAAATAAACATTTAAAGTTTTATTTAATTTTTAAAAAATAAGAAACCTCTTTTTTTACTTCAAAATTATTAAAAAATAAAAATTTAATATCTCAGAAATAAAAAAATCAAAATGTTTTAAAACTTTTTTATAATTTTATTTTTGATTTATTACTTAACAATAATAAATATATTTTAAAATTAAGAAGTAAAAATAACTTGTTTCTTTATAATTATTACGATAATTTTAAACATTTTATCTATTGATTTTTACTTTAAACAATTCTTTCTTTAAATTTAATTGATTTTGCTGATTTGACAATTCTATTTTAATTTAATTTATTACTGAAATTAATTTTTATTTTAAGAAAAACTGTTAATATTAATTATTTTATAAATTACCCAAAGCGGATATCCAAGCTGATTAGGTTTGCAAATTAAGATTTATCAAATCCTAAGCAAGATTAATCTAATTTTCTCTACATTTCACTTTTATTTTAAAGTTGAATATTTTTTAATATTTTTACTTTGAGAAATTAATTAAAAAAAGAATTCAATTATTTTAAATTTTTTTGACTTTATTTTAAAATATTAAATTAATAAATTTTACTCAAAATTAAATTTAAAATCCTCAATTTATGTTTTTCCAATACAAGAAATCAAATCCGAAACACTTTACTAACTCACTTAGTTTTTTCTTTGAATAAAATAAAGCTTTAAGTTTTTCTATTTTAAAAAATAAGCAAAAATATTACTAAATATCAAGAGCTAACTTTCGATTATTTTTTCCTTAAAATAAAGGATTTGCTAAACATTACAGACCTTCATCGGTTATTTTAATATTGCTTAAATTATAAAAAATAAATTTATTAAATTTAAAAAATATTTTGTTTATTTTTATCCAGCTTAATAAACTTAAATTGGTTGAAAATATTTGAATTTTTATTTAAATATTACCTTAATTTAAGAACTAAAGATTGAATTTATGTAGAATTTAATAAATGCTAACTCATGCCAAATAATCCCAAATTACCAATACAATTTTCCCTAAAATAGTTAGTTGTTTGTTATTTATAAATTTTATCATATTATTTTAATCTTTTTAAAGAACAAACAATTTTACGAAAAATCAATTTCCAAATTTTAAACAGTTTTATTTTTAACTAACTCAGAACAAATGTCAATAGCACAACTTGCATTTATGTTATTTTTGCTTTTTTCAAATAAAATTTAAATTAATTTATAAATTTATTATTAAAATACCTAAAAATTGATTTAGAAAATTAAATTTATTAAAAATGTAATTAATTTAAATTTCAAAAAAGACATTTTAATTAATTACCTTAAATCAAGAGTTAAAGTTTTTAATGTAGCAATCTAAGCTAAAGCAGAGAAAGACTTAATGATACTTTTTCCTTAAATGTTATTTGATCTATAAAAATTTATTTTAAATTAATATTTTTTTAATAGAGTAAAATTATTATTTAAACATATGTAAAAAATTATAAAAAAATATTTTAATCTAATTAAATAATTTAAAATAAGCAATTTAAAAAGAAAAAACAAACTATCATTTATGCTTGATTAGAAAGCAATAAATAAATATTTAATTAAAGTTTTAAAAAATTTAAATTTACTTTAGTCCAAAAATCAATGTTGATAAATTTTTGCAATTTTAAAGAGAAGAAGCTAATTTAAAAAGACCACTATCACCAATATTATTTCTTCTAAAATAAAAAAAATAATTTATATTTAAAATAAGATATTTGTAATTAATTATTACCTTAAGTCAATATTGAGAGTTTCAATAATTTTGAAATTTTCTATCACTAAACTTAATTAATATGCCCCTTCTGCTAAAATTTAGTTGTTGCTATTGATAAAATTAAGGAATATTAAATAATGCTTTATTTAGAAGTTTAAATTGTATTTTTAATAATCCTATTTTTTACTAAAGATCTAATGTCATCGATTTAAGATTTGTGAAATTCGCTAAACTAGAAATTAATTTATTAAATGGTAGATGACCGATATAGCTAGACCTATAATTATAGGAAATTATTGAACATATTAAAAATTAAATAATTGAAAAATAATAAAATAAATTAATTAAGTTTTATTTTTAAAATATTTAATTTAAATAATTTTTTACCTAAAAGACATTTCTAATTTTGAAATTTTTTCGTTATATTGCAAAACTTAACCTAAGATTATAGCAATATCTTCACTTATTTCATAATAACTTTTCATTAATAAAAAGAATAAAATTAATGAAATATTTTTGTTAATAAAAAATAACATTCAAATATCTTATAAAATAAAATAATTTATTTTGATCATTTATTTTTTAAAATTAGTTGAATAAAAAAATAAATCATTTGATCAATTTTATTTAATTAAAAATAAATAAGTGAAATGAAATTTACTCTAAAAATAGACTGAGTTTATTTTAAGAGCAAGAAAGGTTAGATTAGATTAACTTTAACTAACAAAATAAAGAAATTAAATATATCTTATATTACAATTAGCCTTACTTTTTTTAATTAATTGCTCTTATTATTATTTTATCTTGCCATTTTTTTTTTAATTTAAATTTACTTAATTACTTTAAATTTATTATTTTTTATTTAAAAATGTTGAATTAAACAAATTAAAAAACAAATAAACAAATAAATAAATGAAATTTAATAACTTTTTTTAATCTAATTAATATTTTTAATTCAATTCAAATTTAGAAAATCTAACTTATATTAATTTAATTAAGACAATTTATCGTTTAGAAAACTATACTTTTAAAATATTGAATGGATTTTATTTACTAATTAAAAATTTAACTTTTTTTCAATCTCAACACACACACACGCAAACATAATATTTTGATTAATTTTTAACATAAAACTATAAATAATAACTAATTATATTTATTTATTTAAAATTTATTATAGAAAATGAACCTAAAACATTTCAAATTAATCTTTTAAAAAGTAACATTTTTAAAAAAATGAATGATGGGCTATTAAAAAAAGTGAAAGAGTAATAAAGAAAAATAAAAATTAATATTATCAAAAGTATCAATAAACTGTGTGCTTTCATATAATTGCTATTAATTTATTAACTTTTTCTTTCAAAATTATTTTCTGATATTAAATGCTGATTTTATTAATTTTATAATTTCTCTCGCTTAATTATTGAAGATTTAGAGTAAATAGATAGTATTTTCAATAAATATTGATTTCTATCATTAAGATCTATTTGTTAGTATGTTGTTGGATAGTTTATTGAGGAATATGTGATAAATACAAGGACTTATTAATTTTTTTATTAATTTGCTTGACATAATTAATTTGAACCTTTTTTACCTATTTAATTGAAATATATCAGATATTTACATATCATATTCTTATTCAAAATTGTGTAATTAAATTTATAATTTTGAGATCATATTTTAAAAAAATCTGTTTGTATTTGGTAAATTCATCCTTCATGAAACTGTAATAAAATGACTAAATTTTAGGCTAACTTTAGCTGCTTTTAAATATTGTTGAAATATTATTTAGGGCAAAAGGATTAACCTCAAGAGTGAGTAAATTTAAATAAATTCTAAAAAATATTTTTTTACAATAAGATACCTAATTATTAAAGAATTTTAAATATTTTTATCTCTTTATTTCTAATTTATAAATCGCAATCAAGAGTGAATTTTTCAACAATACTTGTAGAAGAATTTTTAATGTCTTAATAAAAGAACCTCTTTTCAAATTGTAATATTTCAAAAATAGATATTTATTATACAATTAGTATTAATAAACTTCTAGATATTAAAAATATTTAATTCAGCATGATAAAATTAACTATCTATCTTAATCTTATGGTACCTAATAAAATTGCTTAATAGTATACTTTTGCTAGGTTTTTATGTAAGAGGCTTTTATATTATCACTATTTGTTTTAATTAATAATTCACCGCACACTTAGATTTCTTATGAAAAGCTATTTAAGATTAATGATTGAATAAAATTGCTCAAAATAATTCATTTATATCTTAATTAAATTATCTTCATATATTTTTTTAAGGCTCTTTGAAATTAACAAAAAAAATTGTTTATTATATTTCGATATTAGCAAAATTTATATTAGATGCATATATAATTAACTAACTAACTAACTAACGAGCTTGAGAAAAAAAATTAAGTGTGATGTATGTAGGGTGAGGAAGAATAGAAAATAATTACAAAAATTCAAGCATACAACTAACTATTGATCTTCTTTAATTAAAATTTGCTTTTTTAAGCCAGAATTATGTAAGATAATTAACTTAAATTAAATCGCTACTTCTATTTCAAAAATGCTTAATGAAATAGATTTTTTTTCTTCAACTGATAATAATAAAAACCAGTAAAAATTAATAAAATAATTTTGATATTTTTTATATAAAAAATTTGCAATTACAATAAATAAATCATTAAAACTCCTTCTAATTTATTAATTGAAGTAAATATTAAAAACTCCATTACAAATAGAAGCTTTTAAAACAAACCATAAAATTAATTGTAAAAAAAATGCGAGTAAATAAATGTTATTTGATATTAATCTTAAATTAGATATAATCAATCATTCATTATTTCTTTTTTGTTATGCAATTAAATTTGAGCTGTTAAAAAGTCAAAAGATGTTTAGTTTTTAAAGGAGCTTTTGACTGAATTAACAATTAATTATTACTGAATGTAACATGAAAATTTAACCACAGTATTGAATTTTTTGAAAGGATACAAATAAATTAAATATGTCTTTTTATACTATTGATCAGCTCAATTTGGAACAAAAAATATTTTTTAAGCTCAGTAACTTGTAAAATTTTACACATTAAAAAATGCGAATTATATCTTAAATTGATTCTAAGCAATAGATATACAATGTATACTTATATATAGTACAATAAATTAATGTATTCAATTATTAAATTTTCCAATACCTTCTTTGATAACAATATTTCTAATAATAAATTAAGAAACTAATAAATGATACGAGTATGGCTATACTTAAATATTGTTTAATAGATTACTGAAAGTGTTAAAAAAAAATATTTAATTTAATGTATTTTTATTGGAGGAATATTTCTTACTAAAAAATTAAAAATGTTTGAAGAGGTGAAAAACTTGATTTAGCTTATACTGGAAAGGTTTTGTGATGTTTATTGTTTATATCTTATTTTTTAAAAGAGTCACCAAATAAATTAAAAAGAAACAATAATAGCCTAAATTAATTAATTTGAAAATTTAATTCAGGCATATTTTTATCAATTTTATTCACATCCGGGATTATAGAGAGTCTAATTTTTTTAATTAAATTATAGGCAGAGAGAGGCGATTCAATGTAGATAAGATATAAAAACTAACACACAATAAAGCTTAAAAGTGAAATAAATTTATTGAAAGCAAAATCCTTTTGGTGTAGCTTAAATTGCTCTAAGTCATAACTTGTTTAAAAACCAATTTTCATTTGACTTTTTTATTTTTTTTTCTAAGTTATTTGTATTTTTTTGTATATTATTAATAACAGCGCTTTGGATAATTATTTCTGTTTAAATTAGATTTAAAAATGCTTTTCGCCTCTTTTTTTGCATATTTCAGATTTTGAGGCATAAATTAATAGCATTCAACGCTGTCTCCTTTTTTTAAATTAATTAATTACCTAAATTTGTAAATAATCTTATAGCAAAAAGATTGATAGGTAATTTAATTTCTCAAATCATTCCTTGTAAGCTTGATGATTTCCTCAATTTTTGTATTTATTTCAGGTAAAAAGATAGATATTTTTACTAAGAAGTTTTAAAGAATAAGAGTGGAGATTACTCACTTTATTTTTTTCTTTTTATTGAAGCTTTTCTTATCAAAATTAAAATATTATTCAAAAAAGCGTTAAAAAATAACTGAAGAATTTGTGGTCAATTTTTTAAATTATCAAAGCGTTTGTTTTAATTATCATTCTAAATATAAAGAAAGATTTTCATCTTTTTATTTAGCCTGAAATAGCTAAATATGCTTTTTCTCTTAAATTATATGAACTCAATTTGATTCATAGGAAAATCTATAATTAATTAAAACCAAAAAATTAACTAAATACAACAAACTGCAAAATCAGATAGATAGATATGAATATTAAATTTTTTATAGTATTTCTTTTAGCCTTAAGTTAAATAGCTTCATAATCAGTTACAGTTCCAGGTGCTAACGTATCTTGTTCAACTCCTACAGATTGCTCAACTTGCCCTTAATCCGGCTATTTTAGTTGGCAACCATCAGGTAATTTATGCTAGATTGCAGATTGCTCTAGCTATAGCGCCTCAGCCACTTATTCTGGTTTGAGTGATTTATTTTGCTAAAGTTGCATTGCTTAAACTAGCTCTAGCTATGCAAATTAAGTTGGTGCTACATGTGTAAGTACTCCTTCTTCATGTAACACTAGTCCTATTTCAGGAACTGGTTGGTCAGATACTACCTGTTAATTATGCTCTACAAGTTTATATGCAAATATTGCAGGTACTACTTGTCTTTAAATTAGTTAATCCTGTGGCTCAAGTTCTAATTTTACTGATGCTACCTGCTTAGCTTGTTATGGTACTTCAAAATAATACGCCTCATACGACTAAACAAAATGCGTTCAATCAACAATTTCATGCTCATCTACATCTGGATGGACAGATACTAATTGTGCTATCTGCAATTCTTAAACTCCCTATGCTTCAACAGATACTAATTCCTGTGTGAATTCAACAATGTCATGCACTTCTTAAACCGGCTGGACAGATAATAATTGCAGTATTTGTAGTCCCACTTCGCCTTATGCAATAGTTGGAGGCACTACTTGTGTTGCTTCTTCTTAAACTTGTGGATCTACATCTGGTTGGAGTGACAGTGATTGTTAATTATGCCATGGATCGAATACATATTTCGCATCAGGAGATGGCAGTACTTGCGTTTAATCAACATAATCATGTGGTTCTACTTCTGGTTGGACTGATACTTCTTGTGCTGCTTGCTTCCCAGGAACTAAAATACATGCTACGGTAGATTAAACTAATTGCGTTGCTTCAAGTGTTGTATGTAGTGCTACTACAGGTTGGAGCGACAATGATTGCTCTCTATGCAATCCTTCATCACCTTTCGCAGCTGTTGATAAAAAAAGTTGTGTAGCTTCTTCTTAATCTTGCAACTCAACTTCAGGATGGAGCGACTCTGACTGCGGTTTATGTACTCCATCAAGTCCTTATGCAAGTAGTGATGGAACTCAATGCGTTGCATCCACTATTTCTTGCTCTTCTACATCAGGATGGACCAATAAGAATTGTTAATTATGTAATTCAAGTTCTCCATATGCAACTGCAGATGGTAGCAGTTGTGTAAATTCTACTATTTCATGTGATTCTACTTCTGGATGGACAGATCCTAACTGCAATTTATGTTATCCTTCTTAACCATATGCTACAGCAAATGGTAATTAATGTGTTGCTTCTTCTTAGTCATGCAATTCTACTTCTAACTGGACTGATTCAGACTGTGCATTATGTACTCCTTCTAAGCCATTCGCCTCTGGAGACTCAAACAGCTGTGTTGCTGCTACTTAATCATGTGGATCAACATCGGGTTGGACTGATGCAAATTGTTTGTTGTGTACTCCCTCAGAACCATATGCAACCACAGATGGTACAAGTTGCGTTGCTTCTACCTAGTCCTGCAACTCTACATCAAATTGGACTGACAACAATTGCTCTCTTTGTACTCCTTCAACTCCATTTGCAAACTCAGCTCGTACAGGATGCTCAGATCCTTCTGTTTAATGCGTTGGAAGAGATCCTACTCAAGCAGCTTAAGTTTGGACTGATAGTGATTGCGCTGCTTGCTTTAAAACTGGATATAGAGCCTAATCAGATGGATCTGCTTGCGTAAACTGCAATGCCACCTCAGGAATGTCTAACAATGATTGTGGTCTTTGCAATGGAACAGATGATGGAGATAGTTAATATGCCAATTCTCAAGGAGCTTGTGTGTCTGTTGATTGTTCTTAAACTAGTGGTTGGGTAGATTCAGATTGTTAAACCTGCAATCCTGGAGCTCCATATGCTTCCAGCGATGGTACTTCATGTTTTGCTACAACCAACTCAGTTATTCTTACATTCTCACTAATATTTATAATCTTCATATTAATATGATTATATTAAATAAATACAAAAAACTTGGAGAAAAATAAATCAGATTAAAATCCAAATTAATACTAATTAAAATATAACTCAATTACTCACTAATCAAAATTCTTATTAAATCTTCTTAAAAAATGTTTACTTTATTTTGTATATATCTATCGTTCATTAAAAACGCTAATAATCTAATTAATTCCATTAAAAATATTCTATATCTTAAGTTTTAATCAGATTTATTAAAAGCTAGGATAATAATTTTTATATTTTACTATTTTTAGCATCTTTTAATTTCTAATTTTTATCCTTAGATATTTTTTATCATTTATTAAGTTGAAAAGCAGTGTCTCAAGGACATTCAAAATATAATAACACATATTTTGATTATCTTTGTAAAAAGATAAATAGAGGTAAAAATTATACAAAAAGTGGATATCTTCTTTTCAAATGATAACTAAATTTTTAATAGAATTGAAAAATTCTTAAATTGAATTAAATAGGTAAATTATAAATTAAATGGCATTCTTTTATTATTTTACTGCATATAATTGTGACTCAAAAGCAAAAATAAAGATATAGCTACACTGAAGTATTACTTTTAGATGAGTAGTAATTAATATCTTGATTTTGTTATATGCAAATAATTAAATTAGCACTAAAGATCATATTAATTATTATTTATTGTAAGTAATTGTCTTCATATTAATTAATTATTTTAGTAAATTCTAAAAATTTTGTATTTTTAGTAGTTCATTAATAAATAAAGCCAAAAATAAATACGCTATGAATAAAATTTATGCCTTTTTCATTTGTAAAAGCGAAAATTATTTTTTATTAACAGTAACCTAATCATAAAAAATATAAAATATAATATTTTAAATGGTTATTTACTGAATTAGATTAAAATTATTTGTTGATTCATATATTCTTTTCAAAAATTAAGTAGTGCATTAAAATTTTTATAACAAAAACTACTTAAACTAAGCAATAGAATGATAAATTTAAAAATATTAAATAATGACAATTTAATCTAAATATTTTACCAAAAAGATCTTGTAATTTAATCTAAGCTGAATGAATTTTTAATATATTTTTCTGGAATCAGCTAATCAACTAACTAAATGTCTATAATTAATATATTATAACTTCTACATTGATATTTAAAGTTTAAACTATTCAAATATTTTCATAGAATGATTCAAAGGTATATTGATTGAATCTTAGATTTTAGAGCGCTTAATGAAATAAATATTTTATGAACTACTTCTTTAGTCATTCTTTTCTTTTAATTTTTATTTACTTAATCTATAATTCATTATTGTTCAATATAACATAAAAATAACTTTAACTATTTCTTTTTTCGCAACTTCAAACCACTTCAACTTAATAGACCTTTAAGTTGTATTTTGTTTAAATATTTAAACTTTTTTCAAATGCATTGCTAATTTTATCATAAATAATATTAAATCCTACGTATTTATTGCCTAATCTTAAATTTAAAAAAATGCTTTTGTTCATTAAGGTAAATTTAATTGATTAACTCTATTTATCACTATTAGATTTAATAAAAATAGGTAATAAGCTATTAAAGAATGTAATAAAATAAAGATTATTTATTAATTTATTAATAACCTAATGAAAATATTAAATAATCATACATGAATCAGCGAATAATTTAAAAATTAGATTTAATTTGTATTTTGGCAAATATATTTTTAATATCTTCCTCATTATTGATATCAGATTAATATATTATTTTGCATTTTAAAATGATTATAAAATAAAATTAATTTAAATAAATAAATATCTCATCTACTATTACAAAATAGTCTAAAAATTACTAAATATTTTATTATACAAAAGCATAAAATGTGTGTTAAATAACTAGCTGTTTTTAACCAATCTCTTATTTTAACATTTAAATTTAGATTCATAACAAAAAATATTTTTGTTATCTAAATGTTTATTAATTTTGCATAAATTTAGCCAAAAAAATTAGATTTAGTAATTATTCATTTTATAAAATAAATGCAAATATCAAAAGTAATGCCTATCTATATTGATAAATGAATTCAAATAAGTAGCAAATGATATAAAAAAATCATTAGGAATAGATATTACAATCAATAATTCCACCAAGAAATAGATTGTTCATAAATAATAACTTAACATAATAGAAATTTATTACTCGAAACTAATCAGCAATAACAATTCAAGTAAGAAATAAATAATGGCAAGGCAACAAAAAATAACTATTAGAAAAAGAACGAAAAATAAAATCCAAGTGGAGATGATGTTAATTAAAATAAAATCAAAAATAATATCTTTTTAAGGCTAAACTCAAATGCAAGAAAAAATGTAAAATAATAAATAATATGTGACAAAAAGAAATGAAAATATTAATTGCTAGAAATACAAATAACAATTCTATTATAAAGTAGAAAATCTTGAAATACAAACTTCAAATAAATCAGATAAATAAGAAGGAAATAAGAAAGGGATAATAAGGAAAAACAATAATAAGATGAATATTTTAATTAAAAGAGATTTTCAGAATTCCTAACTAACCAAAAACAGTAAAAGTAATATATCGATCCCTACAATATGTATCTCATCACAATTCTAAGCGTCATAAATAAAAGGATATATATGGCACCAAAAGCCGCTTTGGACACACAACAAAAATTCTAGATAGAATGTCTTATAATTAAAAAGTAATAATAAAAATTAGATAATAAAAGTTAAAATCAAAAGGACTTCATATTATAAGCAATTTATTTGAATAAAAAGACCAGTACAATTTGCTGAAATTCTTTGCTGATAGTAAATGAGATAAACTAAAATATTTTCAAATAATTAAATAAAATGAATAACTAATCAAAACATACAGAGTAAATTAGAAAAGAAGATGAAGAAGAAAGAACCAAAGCTGCTATATATTTAAATTGATCAAATTCTTTAATTGTGTTTTTTTCCCAAAGAAGTAATTGAAATTTTAATTATCATCTGCAGTTACTTCTCAAATAATTTACAGAGGCATAAAGTGGGATTTCTAATAGTAAAGGTCAGCAATAATTATTATCAAAAGCAAATTATTATTGATTTTATAAATCAATTAAAATTAATATTTTTATTCTAGGTAGTTGAAAATTTTATTTGCATTATATAGAAGCATTTATTTTGTAATTAATTTCAAATTATTGTTAAATTATTTACCGTAAATCCTCATTAATTCTCACCAACCCCCCCCCCCCCCCAAACTCCAGAAGTACTATTTATAAATATTCAGAAAATATGGTGAAAATTTATGTTTGCTGGTGAGAATTTATGATTATTTACGGTATATGGAAAATAAAGATAATTCAATGATTTTCTGTAATTCATATATAATTATGTATTAAAATTAGCCAAAAATATTCAAATAACTTCAATAAATGATTAATTAATTAATACTTAAATCTTAAGGAAGGGCATTTCTTCAATAAGCGAATATTTTTATAAAAATGTTTTAAATCTATCAACTTTCACTAGAATTCATGGATGGTTTCTATGATAAATTAAACTAATTAATTATTGTAATAAAATAAGATTATTATTTAAATCAATTTTATTATCAAATTCGTCTATTTGTTTTTAAATTAAATTTATTATCAAAAAAAATCTGATGATAAGAAAGTTTTTTATAGGTAAATGGGTAAATTGATTTGTTTTGACTGATAGTCTGTTAATAAAAGTAAATTTGTTTTTCTTTCAGAAATTTAATTTGAATTTTAAATTACAGTGAATAGACAGACATATCAATTTTGTATATTTATTAATTTAATTAATCATATCTTATTAAAATAAATTACATAACAAGTTTATTTACAAAATAAATTTACACCATTTTATAAAAATGTTTTGGATTTTCAAACAATAGGCGAATAATTTATTAGCTCTATTATTTTCAAAATGAAAGTAAAAATTCTGCGTGAATTAAGTTGTGTAATTTTGAATATTTGAAGAAAGCTTTAGAAGAAGAAAAACATATAAAAGCACATTAATTAATTTTATACTTTTTAATAAGAAAATTTCTGATTAGATTATATATTATTTTTGCAACAAAATTATTAAATTAATTTGGCAATCAGCCATCATCAAATTTGGTTTTTTTGTGATTTTGTTTACATTTATTAATCTTTTACAAAATATCCAAATTTATTTGGACATTTTTTGTTGTTTGCAATATTTGATTAATAATTAAATATATTAGCTCTCAATCTTATTTGATTTTCAAATGTAAATTTTTTCTTTTTATTCAAAAAAAACATAGTCGATTTTTATTATAAATTATCAGATAAAAAAATCAATAATTAAATAATAAAATAAGTCTTTTATGAAAGCAATTACTCTTCTCTTTGTTATTGCATTAGTTGCTGTTAATGCAAATAACAAAACTTAGTAATGTTAGGATATTGTCATGAAAAAAATAGAACTAGGATTAGTTTGCAGTAGCAGTGACACTGAATGCTTAGATGCCCTTCTTTCTCTTAATTAATGTGCATACAACTGTGCTTCCTAAATTGACTACGATTATGATAATGTAGCTTTTATTAACTCTTGTTTATAATTAAACTGCACTTCTTCAAATATCAGAGTCCAACACTTACTATAAGATTTCTTAAATTGCTTCAAATCAATTAAAATCACTAACCTTAGATTATCTAAAAACATCTAATAATGTTAATCAGATCTCTTTAAAAAATTAGAATAAGGAAAGTATTGTAAACCTAATGATTAAGATTGCTTAAATGCTCTTGTTGATTTTAATTAATGTGCAACTGACTGTGCTAAGTAAATTGATTACGACTATGATAACTAAGCTTTCATTATCTCTTGTGTTAAGCAAAATTGCAGTTCTTCAAATGCTGAAGTTTAACGTTTTATGAATGATTACATAAAATGTTCTATGTGAGTAACAAAATAAAAAATATAAATTTTTTAAATCAAATAACGTATTTTTTTTAATACTAAATCATATATACATATACTATATTTAAAGTATTCGAAACCAATTTTATAAATTTTTTATTATAAATTATTTCAATATCATAATTTTTTCTTAACAAAAAAAAATATAATTTAAATAAATACCTTTAGCAATTATTAAAATAAAATATATAAATAACAAATAAAAATGAGAATTAAATGTTCTATTTTAAATATTTATTTACTTTCAATTAAATTACAAAATTTTGATTGCTTAAATATTTCAAAATAATTAATACCTTAACTAAAGTATTTATTTTTTTTATATTAAATTTGAATTTTTGTAGTTTAGTAGCTCTAAAATATCTTTTATTCACAAAAATCTTTATATTATAATAAAATTGTAACATTTTTAAAAGTAACTATTTGTAATAACGAGATAAATTTTATGTTCTCTTGAATAATTTTTTTGATTCTTTCTTTAGTTACTTTTTTATTTTTAAATTATTTATTATAACATTAATTCTAAAATACATATAGAAATATAACTAACATTTAATTTAAATATTAATTAAAGATTAATACTGAATGAAATTAGTTAGATAAAATATTATGAAGTTGTTTAAAAATACTTTGATCGAATTTTTAAAATTTTATGCATAAGTTTAATACTCATAATAAGGAAAAATATATATTAGCAATATTTTAAGGGACTAGCGTTTAAGTAAGATAAAAAAAATATTAATTAAACCTGATTATTCTAACATAATATTATTTAATAGTATTTATTAAATTGATTTAAGTTATTTATAATATTATTAAATGTATTCTCTGAATATAATTTTTATAGTTAAATAGAAATCCCCAAATAAATAATTATGCTAAATACATTTTTTTAAAAATAGATATATATATGTATAAAATTATAACTATTAAATATAAGAAAACTAGAGCTCAAAGAAGGAAAACCAGGGGGCAGGAGGTTAGGAAAAGCTATAAATTTTGGAATGAAAGCAATAAAAAAAGGAAGCAAGATTGCATAAGCCTTAAATTCAATTAGATAAAATATAATAATATAATTTTATTAATAAAACTATTCACTTTTTTAAATTTAAATTATTATTAATATATATGTACCATCAATCCTCATTAAATAAGGATTCTTTATATTAAGGTCTCTTTTTAAGATTTTCAGAATTATTTGTGATAAATATAATTTTCTTCTATCATTCATATAATTCTTATTTGAAAATATACGGAAGATTCTACAAATTAAAAAATGTGATTGTTAAAATAAATTAAATTAATATAAGCTTGTTTGCTTTGAAAATAAAATTGTTTTGAATTGATTTTTAAAATATTTATTTAACTTTAGTGTATCACAAATACAGTATTTCAATAAATAACTAAATTATTTAGCTGATGTAATTCTAATTTTTGCTTCATTACATAGATATTTTTTAAGAGGATAAATAATGAAACAAAAGGAGCATATGTTTTAACTATTATATTCATATCGACTAAAATATATTTAGTAGATTTTTATTTTTTATAATTTTAGGCTTTACAAAAAATACAACTTATTTATTTGCTTGAATGCTCAAATTTCTTCTATTATTTGTAATTTATTTTTGTTTCAGTATTAAAAAAGATATTTTCATAATCAAAATAAAAAAAAATCCTACGAATTAGTGTGATTAATTTTTCTATCTATTACTTTTGAAAGAAGGTTTATCTTAAATATAATACTTTAATCACTAACTTCTCTCTAAAATTGAACATTTTTATTATTAAATAATCAATATAATTATGCTTTTATATGACAACTAAATTGAACTATATTTTTAAATTAATAATTAATCAATATGGTATAATTTAGCTTACTAAAAAACAAATTGAATATAGATAAAAATTGATAATCTTAATTAAGTTATCACAGAAAAAGTTTACATTATCAAAAAATATCTAAATTTGATTAATTTAATTATCATTAATTAATTTATCATCTTATTTACACTTACACCAAACAAACTATTATTAAATATATTAAATTAATTGACTAAAAATTTGTAGTACCAACTAATTTTATTAGATAAATGCATAATCAATAAAATAGTCCTAATAAATGACCTTAATTAGCAATTAGATTTAGCAAAGAATTATTAGCCTATCTAAAAGTGATTAGAACATTCTTGAAATCTAGTTTTTTATTTTAAAATATCAGAATAGTATTAACGCCTATTAAATTAGAAGATAAAGTATGCTTTTATAAAGGACTTATTTAAAGCATATAGACAATGTCTATTAATTATAAAAAAGTCAAGAGAAATCCACTAAAAAATGTATCAAATAATCTCTATATTTGCCTTTGAATGTAATTTTTAATAACTCTACTTAGCATTAAAGAGATTAAACATGTCACTCAATATATTTTACTTGGAATAATTAAGATCAGAGATCAAGTAGAATTTAGAAGAATAAAGCAGAACAGTTTCTTTATAAAATGTAAAGTAAAATCGATTTAAAAAAGGAATATTTTATATTACAAAATTGTCAAAATGTTAGATTGATTAAAAGCAATTACTCATATTTATTAATTTGAATATTAATTATTTCTTAACTTTATCTATGTATGTGTTTTTATGTATGTCTAATACGTTTTTATTTGCTCTTGTAGTTGTTGTTATCTTTCTATTCTTAATCAAATGATTTAATTGGATGATATTTTAATATAAAAATTAAAATTTACATATAAAATATATTATTTTTGGTAATTAAGTATAAGCTTACTCAAATGCGTATAGCGCCGAAAGATTTTAAGCCCTTTATTATTAAATTTGCATCCAAAAATAGATGGATTCGAAATCTACTCCTCAATAAGGTGAAAAAAACCGATTCTATAAAATTAACAAAAAAGATTGAAATTATATATATTTAGCTGTTTCTGGATTTAAAATATCACTAAAATTTTCAACTTTGTATCAGTTATTTTATAAATATATATTCAGAAAATATGGTGAAAATTTATGCTGGTGAGAATTTATGAGGATTTACGGTATTTTAATTTTAATATTTAATAGCATTAACTTAATATAGCACCTCCAAGATTAAAGCCAAAGTTTTAAACAAACAAAAAATATTTTTATTTTTTTTAATTTATTAGAATAATTCAGAATTTATTTTTATATTGCCATTCAAAAATGTAAGATTTTTAAAAATATTAAAATAATCTAATTAGATCAAAATTTATTTCATTTTAGTGAATTCGTATTTTAGTTATCATTTATATCCAATCTCTATTTCCTACTATATTTTTAAGTAAACATTTTAAATAGAAATATTAAGATTTAATGATAAATGTTAGTTACACTAACTTTTTTGTGATATCTCTTACTAAAAGTAAATTTATAAATTCATATAATTTATTTGTTCTTTTATCTACTTATAATTAATTAAATTTTCATGGGTTGCATTCAATATTAAAAAAAAAAAATCAATATAATAGATTAAATATTACTACTAATTAAAAGAAGTAATTATTTATTTTTTTAACAATATCCTTTAAATTTATTTTTGCAAATATAAAAAGTTCTTAAACTCTTCACTTTAGTCTCATTAGGTTCTCCATATTTTTCTGAAGTATATTTAATTAATAAATATCATTCTTATTACTATTAATATTTTCTATATATTTAACTTTCAGTCATTAAAAATTTTTATTTTTCTAATAGATATTGTCCTCTATTTTGGTAATTTTTTTTTAAAATGTTTTTTAGTTATTTTAACTTAATTTTCATTTTAAATTTTTTAAATCCATTATCCATTTTTTATTATTTGATATTTTTTATTCATTTTTTCATTCTAAAACTTTTACTTGATAAAAACAGTTTATTATTTTTGGATTGGAATATTTTTACCTATAAAATATAATTTTAAACAATAAAACTCGATTAATTTGTTTTTTAGCTTTTTATTTGATTTACTTTTCTTTTTCTTTTTTACTTTACTTGTGTTTATTTTTCTTCTATCTTTCTTAATTTAATTGATTTTTTTATTTCATATAATATTTGCTTTTCTTATTTATTAATTTATTTTTTATTATTTCATATTTTTTCTTCATTTTTTCCTTTTAAATAACTATTTAATGATATATTTTTTCTTCAATATTTAAAAAGTTGCAATTAAATTGGTGACGAAGGTGCATCAGGCTTAGGTTCTGCTTTAGCAAATTGCATTAATCTCTCAAATTTGACACTTACAATTGGGTAAAAAAAGTTTATCTGTTTTGGATTGTGAAATTTTTAATTATAAAAAATAATTAAAAAAAATAAAGCTCTTTTTGCTTTTCTTTGTTAATTTAACTCATCATTTTATTTTCAACTTTTGTTTTTATTATTAATTAATCTATCTTATTATTATTTCATATTTTTTCTTCATTTTTTCCTTCTAATTAACTATTTAATGATATATTTTTTCCTCAATATTTAAAAAGGAGCAATAAAATTGGTGATGAAGGTGCATCAGGCTTAGGTTCTGGCTTAGCAAAGTGCATTAATCTCTCAAATTTGACACTTAATCTTAGGTAAAAACAGTTTATTTGTTTTGGATTGTGATATTTTTAACTATAAAAACTAATTAAAAACAATAAAGCTCTTTTTTCTTTTTCTTTTATATTGCTTGCTTTTTTTTTGTTCTTTCTTTGTTAATTTAACTCATCATTTTATTTTCAACTTTTATTTTTATTTTTAATTAATCTATCTTATTATTTCCTATTTTTTATTCATTTTTTCCTTCTAATTAACTATTTAATGATTTATTTTTTCTTCAATATTTAAAAAGTTGCAATTAAATTGGTGATGAAGGTGCATCAGGCTTAGGTTCTGGCTTAGCAAATTGCATTAATCTCTCAAATTTGACACTTAATCTTAGGTAAAAACAGTTTATTTGTTTTGGATTGTGATATTTTTAATTATAAAAGCTAATTAGAAAAAATAAAACTCTTTTTTCTTTTTCTTTTTATTGTGCTTGCTTTTTTTTTGTTCTTTATTTGTTAACTTAATTCATCATTTTGTTTTCAACTTTGCTTTTATTATTAATTAATTAATAATATTTATTATTTCATATTTTTTCTTCATTTTTCCTTCTAATTAACTATTTAATGATATATTTTTTCTTCAATATTTAAAAAGTTCCAATTAAATTGGTGCAATGGGTGCATCAGGCTTAGGTTCTGCTTTAGCAAAGTGCATTAATCTCTCAAATTTGACACTTGGAATTGGGTAAAAAAAGTTTATCTGTTTTGGATTGTGATATTTTTAATTATAAAAACTAATTAGAAAAAATAAAACTCTTTTTTCTTTTTCTTTTTATTGTGCTTGCTTTTTTTTTGTTCTTTATTTGTTAACTTAATTCATCATTTATTTTGTTTTCAACTTTGCTTTTATTATTAATTAATTAATTAATCATATTTATTATTTCATATTTTTTCTTCATTTTTCCTTCTAATTAACTATTAAATGATATATTTTTTCTTCAATATTTAAAAAATTTGTGATGAAGGTGCATCAGGTTTACGTTCTGGTTTAGAAAATTGCATTAATCTCTCAAATTTGACACTTGAATTTATGTAAAAAAGTTTATTGGGGGGTGGAGCGATTCACATTACAAGTGAAGAATTTTTTATTACTGATGATATATTTTTTTGTATTGTAATATTATTATATATTAGAGTGTATTTAATCATAATATGCTCAATGATTCTATAAAGCTAGATCTTTACTTAATTAAATTCAAAGAAAAACTTGGTAAAAAAAAAGTGTCAAAATCAATGGAAGTAGAAGAAAAATCTTATAAATATTATTTAACCAATCTAGAATTTAAGAAATGGGCAATAGTCATTTCATCAATTGTATGGAATAAACCATACAGAGAGATAGGAGAGAAGCTTGGATGTACATATTAATGGGCACACTCAGTTGTATAAAGGTTTTATTAAGATGAAGCAATCATTGACAAAAGATAAAATAATGGTGGATAGAATATTAAGCTTACTGATTAAGTTCAAGAAACAACT